CTTTCAATTATATCTATTTCGATGCCATTTGGCGTCCAAACAACAAAATAACAAAACTTTCTTTTAGTTACCATCAGTTGGCCTTGTACCTGATAATAATAATTATGCGTTTTTTTCAACTGGATTCCATCAGCAGTTTCTACACAACATTTAATTTAAACCGATAACTGTATCTAATAAAATCTAATTAGATAAGGTATAATAAATTGTAGGGACGACTTACCCATTGTTTATTATGTATTTTCCAATGACACTTGGAAATTCCAAGTGTCATGTAATCAACCAAAACAACTTCACTAAATCACGACAATTGCACGACAGCGCGTGTCGTGCAAATAATAATTGTGCAAAAAATTGTGCAAAAACGCGTGTGCGTCTTCCCTCCGCCCCGCGCCACTGCCGGGGGAGTTTTATCCAGTGAAATGCACGATAATCCATCACAAAACGAGTGCGTAAAAAAGTACGATTTAGTGCTTTAGAAAATAGCGTTTTTTGAAAAAACCACTGCTTAGATCAATTTCAAATAAATTTTATAGAACTTTATGGTAATTGTGCTGAGTCGGTACGGTCTTCGGTTTGGAGATTTTACACGATTAGTGGTATTTTTTAACACCCAAAGTTGCGTTAAAATTGTAAAGAAAAACAAAACTTTGTTGGCTCATAACTTTTTAGTAGTTTTTTTTTTATTTTTTTTGTTTCCGTACCGACAAATGTAATTACAAGATAAAACGATATCGTGTTTCATTTTGTAGGTACACATTCACACTGTCGAGTAATACCACCCCGAACTTTCTATGGAAAAGATATCGACTAGTGTAACCTTAAAATGACAATACACACTCTCAGTATTACATAACTGTCAAACAATATTACCAGCAGTGCTAGCCAAATGCCATTTAGCGCTTGTCTACATGTAGAATAGAAAACCAAATTATATGGAATTGACGTAAATTTTGACACTTGTCAGTGTCATCCCCATACATTTTGATTTCTACTCTCTCTGTAGACAAGCGCTAAAGTGGTTTTTGGCTAGAGGCCCTGGTTACACATAGTTATATGTAATTTACACTCATAACCTTTACGTCTTTTTTTAAATCTTCGAATGACTGCTCCCGCCTGGGTGAGCCGGGAGGGAGTGTCAGACTCTTACTGACTAAAAACCACCCCGTTCCTTCTACTGCACGTCGAGCCGGAGCCCCGGTTACCCGTTAGGATCTCTGCGACGAACTTTACGTCTTAGGAGTTGTTTTATAGCTTTGAACAAGTTTGACGGTTTACTAACTCAAAACTCAAGTGTATGTCAGAAACTACAGAAGAAGCTCCTGCGATCCTTACATCCTATTTTAGCTGCAATCAAAATATTATCTAGTCATATGTATATTAGGAATATAGGAGCTAGTTTTATCAAACTGAGAGGTCACGTGTCATATGTAAAACGATCGCAGACTGCAGGGCGGCGGCCGGTGACCGCAACCGCATTTGTAACACTACTGTACAGAAGAACGCACGTAGTAGTAGTACATTATATATGTGAGATGTAGGTACCTTCATAGCTTACCTTCATAGCTACGTAACTATGTGGCACACACTTACCTACATACGTACCTGTAGCTCCGAGGCAGTAAAACATCGGCTTAACGATTTCATTTCGTCTGATTTTTGAGAATTAATTTCCTAAAATTGTATACACTTATTCTTACTATCTTCTTCCGCGTCGCGCTCTGCTAGGCGCCTATCCATTATAATGAGATGTTTTAAGCCAACACAAAAAAATATATTTAAATCAGTTCAACAGTTCCGAAGGTTAGCGCGTTCATACAAACAAGCTCTTCAGCTTAATCAATACTAATATTATAAAGATTAATACCTATTTTTGTATGTTTGTAATGAATAGGTTTAAAAAAGTACTGGGCCGATTTAAAAAAATTTTCACCAATAGAATGCTACATTCTTCTAATTTGACATAGGCTACATTTCATTTTGAAAAAAATTAGGGATCCTTGGTAAAATTCGAACAATGTAACCGAAGATGTAGAAATATGAGTCTTAAAATGTCTTTCGTCGAATGCGCTGCCGAAACTATTAGTGATAGAACAAAATAATGTACAACACTATTGAAGAACATCATAATGTCTACAAAAAACTCTGCGGTAGCTTATGTCCAACTATTGTAGTTATGTCACTACAACATTCCATATTTCCAAAAATAAATAATTGTCTACCCCGTGCGAAACCGGGACGGGCTGCTAGTATCTTAATTATACTTTAATACTGTATTATTATTACTTTTTATTATTATAGCTGAAGAGAGCGGGAGAAACCGCGCAAGTGGGTACTTGTAAATAAATTCGCGTGTATGAGTCGTATATGTTTTGTCACTAAAGTGCCAGGAAACATAAGGTCCTAGTATCTGTAAAACTGAGGCACTGTTTCCCCAAGTCTTGGCCAAGATTTTCTTAGCCTGACAGACGAGCTGAACCATATAAATTTTGCATGATTGTGTCAAAACACTACCAGAAACATACACGGCAGTGCAGCAGTGATGTAATAGGCTGTCAATTCATTTTAATATACCCTCGGTATACTAAAACAAACATATAAGAAACTGAAAAACAAGTCACTTGACAACGAAATGCCCTTAACAAAGGTTACTAGGACCAACCTAGGTTGATTGAAGGACAATACACCTAGGTATTGTCAAACATCCTTTCTTTAACCTTTCAAAGTTTTTAAATTGCAAATACCTATCTTTGCTTACAAACATACATAGATACCTAGCTATTTAGGTCTCATTTACTACTAGCACAGAATACTACTAGGTGCTAGTTTATTTTTTTACATGACTTCTTTTAAAACTTTTTTATATTGTAGTCAGCAAATACCTATTAAATTATTAAGGTAGAATTGTGTGATTCAAGGCCAGTCAAGTAAAACTCTTGTAAACACGTCGCCGTATTCACTAATCGAATTTTCTAGATAAAAAAGGTACTCCGAGCCGTTTGAGTAAACAAGATAAATTTAAAAAGTTCACAGCATGTTTTAACTTTTAAACGACACACATTATGTATTAAAAACAAATGTTTTAATATTTTAAAATGTATAAGAAAACTGTTTTGATCCAATTCCAGTTGTCTGGCTATTAAAGAGAAAAGTTTAATATATGAGTAACATTATTTATTTTGTTTTGTGCCATTTTGACTTCATTTAAAAGACCTAGGACTTTTTATTATATTACATTTAGACTTTATTTCAATAGTGAAAACTGGGTGTTACATTGTACGTGCAGTAATGTGCACCTCTGCTTACCCCTTCAGGGATATAATGCGTGATGCTATGTTTAAGTATGGTGCAGGTATATTTACTTATCTGATTATCCGTCGAGCTTTGACCTAACAAATAGTTTAGTATTATGTTTTTTTTTATTAATGGTTGGAAAATGTTTTCCCTTAGAGCTAAAATGTTCGTCCCTTTTGGAAATCGTGTTGGTGCTGAGTTCCATGATCCCATTGCAAATGGTGACGGATCTCCTAGACGGTCTTTTCCACAAAAGAAGGCAATTAAAAATATAGGTAGGAACACTGTACCTAAGTACATCTCGATGTCAGTCTGCATTAAAAATGCTTTCATCAATATTAAAACCACAAACAGATGTCCATTAAAACATTATTCAAATGATCGCAAAATGAAATGGGATTCTGTGGTAAATGTTGGTAGGTATCTACTCAATAGAAAAAAGTTGATTTCCTACACACACATTTAAATAAAATTTATAATTTACTCAAAATTTACTACGCAGTAACGGATTTCCACGAAGATACGCGTAGCCGTGCAGCTGCTAGCATGACGTCAAGTTTTGAGGACTTCTGACCTATCACCCGCTCATTCATTGATCTACAAACTAATCGAATAATAACCCTTGAGCAATGACTCTTATCAAAATGCGTAGAAAACAATTACTTCAATACTGGTGATAATAAAATTGGCCCTTCTCCTCCCTCCCTCAAACTCAAGAGTAGCTTCTATAATACGTATTGTACACTTTTGTAAAGATAAACATACATTACAACAGACGACAGATAAGTGACCGTATAGTATAGTAAATAATATTGTAATTAATGGTTTCTCCACATTGACGCTTAATTAGAATCAATGTCTCTGTAACGTTGGTTTACTATATACGCAATTGATAAGTGCAAATTAACTCGTCGAGTACCGGTTTTGCAGACACAATTATAGAACAATAGGTTGCGGTCACCGGTGACCGCTTGGTGCTTGACAGTTTAATAAGGTACCTACTATGTACTATAGTCGTCATAATACAATGGCCTACGCAAACCGGGACGCCGTGCAAGGGATTTGCCGTCAGTCAGCGTACAGTAGCCACTTTGATTCCATGGCATTCACGCGGTACTCCTCCACCGCGACATCTAACAACAAACGCTGGAGTACTTGGCATGCCGCTGCCTACCGCGATATGCCATACCACAGCATTCCGCTGCGAGAGGTTACATTCAATGCCCTTTCGATGACACGGTATCATTTATAAAGCCAGAAGCCTCCTTATACCGCAAGAAGAGCATTGAATCTTTGATGGTTTGATGGTTCAAAGATTCAATGCTCTCTCTCTTATGCGAAATGCATTCTCTCTTATGCGAAAGCAAGTCAGGTATTCCCTGCTGTTAAAAAAATATATGCAAAGATTAAATCGACCAACCACATTAAGTCAAGTGCGCTATGTATTAACATAAAGTGTTTCATATATCTGTAATGAATACAGAAAAAAATCTTCACCCTGGATAAATTCTTGGTTGCAAATATTAACTGCACCTTTTAATATTCACTAATTACAAGAACTGATTTAAAAAAATAAAAACTGTTTAATTAAGAATTACCTTCCAGTTACAGTCTATTAAAAAAGCATGAAGTCAAAGTCTAACTATTCATAAACTAAACATCTATAGTCTATGAAATGGGATCTATGGTATGTCACTGTCGATTGTCAATTTTGTCAATGTCCAGTAATCATCATTCACTCTGTGTGCTGCTGATCGTAGAGTCAAAACAAAAAATTGTTAATTTCATGATATTTTTGCAGTAATTTGCTTTATTTTATAATATAATATAGTCTATTTAATAAAACGTATAGACGTAATAAGTGTAAGGGCCAACCTGTATAATAAAAATGTCGTTGGAGACGGTACCAAAAGATCTTCGTGGACTGAGAGCATGTTTGGTATGCTCATTGATCAAGGTATTTATTGTATTCTGTTTCCTTCTTTTCTGTTTCTATATATGTATAGATATTTAAACCCCAATCAAAGTTCTTCAGTTTTATTTCCTACTCTTTATTGTAATACTTGATGTCAACAACACTTAAATACCATACTTGTCTTTTGCCACATACCTATATATTTCAGTGAAAATAATTAATTTGTGGTTTTTTTTCGTAGTGATCATCATTACTGATTGTATAATTTAAAATAAGTTTATATGAAGTACTCTTGGAGCATGCACACTAGTCAATACATATTGGTAATATTTTGATTGTTTGTTTATTCATGTTATTTTGTGGTATTTTCATGGTATTTTGTGATGTTGGTGTACTGATAAGATTAAAATATGTCACATTTGTATTTATGGCATTTAAACCCTTTACCTGTAATAACAACATTTCAACTATTATAATGTCCTAATAATTGTTATTGATACTATTCCAGACTTTTGATCAGTTTGAATATGATGGGTGCGACAACTGTGATGAATTTCTACGACTGAAGAATAATAAGGACAATGTTTATGACTGCACTAGTAACAATTTTGATGGGTAAGGCATTTCCTATCTTAACATAACAAGTACAGGATTATCAATTTTCTGCTTGAAAACAACCAGAATTCTTATCAGACTCTTCTCTAATTTTTAAATGTTGCCCCATGCTAGAATTTTCTCCTGACAGACTATTATAATAAAACTAATAATTCATTTCATTTATGAGTTTACTGGGATGTTAGCTCCTTCCTTACTATTAATTATATTCTCACTAGCTTCTGCCCGCGACTTCGTACGCGCAATCTCGTTTTTTCCCGTTCCCGTTCGTGATATTAGATAGAAATTTAAAAAATATATAAAAAGCATTCGTCTCCTGGTTCTAAGCTACCTCCCCAGCAATTTTCATCCAAATCTATGTAGCCGTTCTTGAGTTATAAATAGTGTAACTAACACGACTTTCTTTTATATATATAGATAGATAATGACAATAATTATAAAAGTGCTATTTTACTTGTAATTACTCATGTTTTACTAAATAAATATATCAAAACAAAAGTATTTACTACAAATAATAGGCCATAGCCTATTTTCAGAAATATAGTATTTCACTAATTAAAATACATGTCATGTATTTGTTTAATATTGTTGTCTATTCATAATTACATGTTACTAATTTCAGGATGATAGCTGTTATGAGCCCGGAAGATAGTTGGGTCTGCAAATGGCAACGCATAAGTAAGTTTTCCAAGAACTTAAATTCTTTATTCATATCCTCGACTCTGTCTCCTTTTATAATAAAAATGTAGACCTTTTACATTACTCTATGTGAAATCTAGACATGGCTATTGGTTCTTATTTAAACAGAACTGATTTCGGAGTACAATGCTAAATGTTTAAAGTTATAATTATTTGATGTAATAAATGAATATATGTATATAACTTATGTCGGAATACTCAAACGCTACTCAATTTTAACTCGTCGAGTACCGTCTTTGTAGACACAATTATAGAACAATAGGTTGCGGTCACCGGTGACCGCTTGGTGTTTGACAGTTTAAGTTGTGCTTAAGTATAGTTCTGTCTCTAAAATGACAGAGATGGCATGATATTTAAGCACGACTTCAAATTGAGTAACATTTCAGTATTCCCGCATTAGTCTATTATATAAATAGATTCAGTTTTTTTTTTGTATTATTGAATGTTAATATAAGTTTTTGTCTATGTAATAATTAATTACAATAATATTATTCGTTTTCAGACCGATTTTGTAAAGGAGTATACGCAATATCAGTATCAGGAAGACTACCAGCTGGTGTTATAAGAGACATGAAGAGTCGTGGCTACGTTTACAGACCAAGAGATACAAGCCAGAGATAAACATCAATTTAGCATAGTATTTCATTAAAAGTAATTTAATAATCTCATGGTTCATTTTCTTGTATTGTCCCCATAATGCATGGAAAATAAAATAAAAATATAATTTTGTTCAAAAATTTTAATTCTCCTAAATATCTAAACATAACAACCTAAATAAAAACAGCCATTATCTACATCTTTGAACAAATGAAATGCTAGGCAGTAATATGCCCGATGCCCACACCTCACAATAAAATGCTCTTGAGTAACGAAATAACATTAACATCAATTCAGCAGGTGCTAACAATAAAGCCAGAGTTTATTTACAATAGACTGAACAATTAACTGACAACATTTACTTATTAGTATTATTTTCTGGTTTGTAATCCACTGGTATATGTTGTTTATCCCAAAAGTGCATTTTGTGGCATGTTGCAAGTTGCAATGCGCACATCAAGTAGTTCTGTCAACTGCTGTCCGATGGTGGTGCTTTGTACTCACCCTCTGTACCAAGTACATCCTTATCAATTTCTTTGAATTCTATATTCTGCTGTTTCATTGCATTCTGAAAGAAATTGTAGATGGTTAGAAACAATCCTTAAAAAATATGTTAACTGCAAACTGTCATTATTAGGTAGTCTAATCAGATGAGATGATTAACCTAACTTTAATCTGGTTTCGAACTTCAATTCATTAACAGCAAGATCATGCTGACTCAATAGGTAGCATTATAGGTTATTCATTCTTGGATATTGATGAAGCAAATTTTGGTCACATTGCATCAGATTTAAAATTAAATTTTAAGCACATCAATGAATGCCTATAACAACAATCCATTAACAAGTAATTAAAACAAATCCTTAACGAAGCACTAAGTAATATTTTTAATCAGTGAGAATTCTTAGGAGCGGATATCACGCCCTTTATCAAAATATTAGATAACAGATCAATATGGGTGGTGATTATTCCTAATAAAAAATTACTTATTATAATAAACATTACTTACAAGGAACTAATTAATGGAAACCTACCTTTACGCAGTCTTGGTAAACTTTAAATATACCAGCACAAACGGAATCGTCATGGTCACCTTTTAAAAACCTTTCAGAAAACCAACTATTAAAGCAATCGTCATATTTTTTCTTCAGTTCAGTACATTCTTCTCCAATACTATTCATGATGCTGTTGTGCAATATGTAAGGATTATTTTTAATTCAATAATTTCTAAAATACTACGATTGTATAAAATTTTCTACTGCAATCAATGCTATTGCTGCTGAGTGCTGTCACATCACATCTGTCAAACAGTCAAATTGAAGACTGAAGTTGATGCTGTTGACTAGTGATGTGTTGTTGTAATATGCTAATTTTTTTTTAATTGTAAATAGATTTGCACCTATTGAGTCGACATTATCGATTTGTAACTCGACGTATTCCTCTCAGGAGGTGATGATTTTTTTTATTTTCTAATAGTTTGTACTAATTTACATGCTATTTCAAAAGGAATAATATTTCTGAATGTATTAGTATTCATAAATGTTTATTGGTATATTGACCATACATTAAAACTAAAGTCACATAAATCGAACCAGTAGTTTTTAATTTATTGATGGTTTTGTAGTTCGATCGGGATTTTTTCAACAAAAACGAATATGTTGAATATCTCAGAAACTGACCACTTTCAGACTATTTTTGTAGGAAATTAGTTGTATTATCATCTCCCGAGAGGAATACGTCGAGTTACAAGTCACCCTGTATATTACTTATTTTATTATTATTTGATGGGCCGACGTTTGACCATTCTATCGCTTAGTGGTTAGCAATGATAAAAAAATACTTTACTGCAACTGCATTTATCAAATAAAGTAATATTTTTTACATAACTATTATTATGTAATGTTACTTCCAAGTAATTTTTAAAATTATTATTAATCTTTCGATTGTGCGCAAGCTTATAGCGCAAACTACAACACTATCATATCAGCTGATGAGCTGACTGATGATTATAAGACAGACTGACAAATGTGACAGATGGATGACAGTGCTGCACAGAAATGTGACAAATGGTAGATGGAAGCATGGTATTTATTGTGATGTGTACAGTGTTAAGGTTGTAAAACTTGATAAACTCTTTAATTCAATTAACCATGAGTGACATATTGAAAGATAGCCGGTTTACAAAGTACCTAAATGATCCAAAATATCGTCAGATTCCTAAACATGAGAGGAAGGTTAAAATAGACAAACGGTTCCAGTCTATGTTTAAGGATGAAAAATTTAAAGTAAAGTACTCAGTGGACAAACGTGGCCGGCCCATAAATGAAACTTCAACTGAAAATTTGAGGAAATACTACGAGGTAGATGAGTCTGAAGGAAGCAGTGACACTGAGGATGAACATGAAGAGTCACCTGCAAATGATAACGTAGATAAATCTGAAGCCGAATCTGTCCCAGGCCGTTTCGTTAAAAGACCTCCATCTCCTAATGACGATGAAAACGATGAGGAACAAACAGTCTTTCTCAATGACAAATTGGTTCGTGGAAAATTGGAGAAGAAAGTAAAAAATAGGTTACTGGATTTAGATATTGACTATGCCCGTGGAGAAGGTTTGTTAAATGTTACTACATACATTAAATAGTCATAATATTATTATTATTGTTACTGGAAACAAATTCGAAGAACTGTAACCTTTAGTAGCGCAAGAACAAGAAGAAGTTGTCTTCAAGAAATCACCGCTTGTGATAAGACCGCTCATTGTACTCAAAGTACTATTACAATGTATACAATTTTTTCAATGTGTGCAATAAAGTATAAATAAATAAACAACTAAAATTGTAAAATTTTTACTCTTCATTGTTATCTTACAGGAGTTATACAAACTGACAGCTCCTCTGATGAGGAGAGTAGTGAGGCTGAAGAGGAGAGTGACTTGGAACATGAGTGGGGAGAGCTAGATGCTGATGCTGGAACAACTGAGGAATCAACGAAAAGGTACAGATAAATTATCATTTTCAAAAGGCAGCTGCATAACATGCAATAACTTGAATATATATATGAAACTCGTTGTAATGTATATTTTATAGAATTCATCATCATCATCACGCCTTTTATCCCCGAAGGGGAAAACAATGGTGCACATTAAGGCACTTAATGCCACTGTACTATGTATGTAACACCCACTTTTCACTATTAATGTTGAGTCCCTTGTAATATGAGCCCATTGCCATATACCGGGCACAATTCCAGACTCCGTGCTGCTACGCTGCTACTGACAATTTTTACAAAAACCCAGTAATACTTTCCCCGAACCTGGTAGTCAAACCCGAGACCCCTTGCCCGGCAGTCGTTAGCCAATGAGGCAAGCAGTTTTAAAGAATTAAGATCTAGAAATATTAGTTTTAAGATCAGTCAATTTAAATTCCACATACACATCCTTATGAGTGTTAGGGTGTGGAAATGGAGAGATGTATTAGAAAGTACCTACTCCAGTGCAGTTATAGCCTTCCTCAATAAATGCACTATGTGAATAGTAAAAATATATTTATATCGCACCATTAGTTGCGGAGATTAGCATGTTCAAACAAACAAACAAACACTTGAGTTTATTATATATTTAATAGTATTAGGATATTACCTATATCGTCATCAAAAATGAAAAGAAAATCTGAATTCAAGTAATTATTAAACAGTGTTTTATTATGGGATAAGCCGGTAAACATGCAGACGGATCACCTGATCACCAATCAGCATCGCCCAAGGATACTTGGAAATTGGACGCCCAAGGAAACACCAACCAGTGCGTTACCGGCCTTTTGGGATTCAGAGATTGGGAAAGGGTGGAAGGGGTAATTGGGCCTTTGGTAACCCCACGCACACGATGAAGCGTGTTCACGTCGGTCTTCGGTAAGGCCGTGGTATCACTCCGGTCGAGCCGGCCCATTCGTGCCGAAGCATGGCTCTCCCACACTCATGAGCATGTTCGTGATAAGCTAATACTGTGTCTCATGTGATTTTCTTATATGTAACATCGTCTTATTCAGGATTGCCATATGCAACATGGACTGGGACAACATTAAAGCTGTTGACCTCATGGTGTTGCTGAACTCATTTGTGCCACCAGGAGGTGTTATCAAGAAGATCACTGTAAGTAACACACAATACCTACTTAAGAATTAGTGCTAAACTTGGAATAGGTTACTTTATTTGAATTACAAAACGTTTTCAGATTTATCCGTCTGAATATGGTCTAGAAAGAATGAAGGAGGAAGAAGTTCGTGGCCCAATTGAATTAACAGAGAAGAAACTTGATGATTTGTCCGAAGATGGAGGCAATGAAGAAGGTTTGTCTACTTTTCTATACACGTTATAATCACAAAACACAGTTTTACATTTTTAATGTCCATCTGTAGATTAGTTCAAAACACTAGACATATATTTTTTCATTTCATACGGAATCAAATACTTTCGATGACATATAAATAAAAAAAAATCCTGTGACATTACGATTTCATAAATTTTCTACAGAGCGACGACGTAAATACCAACCCACTGCTAGTGTTACTTATGCACTTTAGCTTTGTAATAAGAGCAAGCCTATTTTAATGTGACACTAAGAAAGTCATAATTTGAAATTTCAGGTTCATCATATCATATGGAGAAACTACGTCGTTATCAACTAAATAGACTTAAATATTTCTATGCTGTAGTAGAATGCGACTCTGTTTCGACAGCTGACAAGCTCTACAGTGAATGTGATGGCATGGAGTACGAAAGTAGCGCTACTCGCCTCGACATGAGGTTTATTCCCGATGATGTTACTTTTGATCAGGTGTGTGTTTGCCAAGTATAATTTTCTGATCAATAGAATGTTTATAGATTTTCAATTTATCCTTAAATTCTTTTCATACAGGAACCTCGAGAGGAATGTAGTAAACTCCCAGATTTAACGAAATACCGACCCCGATTGTTTACAACAACGGCATTACAACAAGCTAAAGTTGAGCTCACTTGGGATGCTACAAACCCAAACCGAGCAGAAACTATCAAATGTGCACTTGATGGAAAAATTGATGATTTAGACCTTAAAGATTACTTGGCATCTAGCAGTGAAAGTGAAGGTAAAATAAA